TTCTTGTATGCCTTCGTGTGTTGCAATGGTGAGTGGTTTGCTTAGATATGTTCGGGTACATGCTGTATGCTATACAATGTATGAGAGCGTGGTGGGCATTTCGTGCGCGGCGTGCAGTAGACCTTTTATTGTTTTTTTATAATCATAATCTCTTTCTTTTTTGTTTGGATTTTGTTTATTTATTTTGTTTTTGATTTCTTTATTTCAAATTCTCTTAAATTCTTTTTTTGGCCTCTTGAGAATATGATTGTACAAAGAAAAGGAGCAATCCACGAGGACGTTTTCCGTTCATATTTTCTTCACAATCAACTCTGACTCCAACTGTGATATTTCTTTGGTTCCCTTTTGTTTGTTTTACCGAGCACGGTTTTCCGCTCAGGCGTATATATAAGCTGGGTCCTGTTCAAACCCACGCCACACGTGTGGCACACTATCTCTTTGCTACTGCATTTATTGCTTGCACTGTTTAGCGTCATCTCGGCACGTTTCGGTACTATCCAGTACCGCGATTCGCCAATAAACGTTTACGACTCCGACGAGTGTTTTTGTCTACCTCGGGCAACGAGACACTAGGAGGTCGCTCGCATTTTGAGACTCTTAAGAAGACTTACCGGCAGACCGTCAACTTCGTTAGCTTCAAGTGTGACATCTGTCGTAAGCAAATGCCTAGAAAGGATTGTACGCAGGCATATGGCGGCGTACCCCGCAGGGCATGAGCTGCTAAAGAAAGCTCAACATGGCTTCATTAGGAGAAATTGTTGATGCTTAGACGAGGGAAAGCATGCCTAGGTCTGTTGCCTGGACTTTAGCAAAGCCTTTGACTTGGTAAGTCATCAGGGGCTAGACCAAAAGATGCATTTTTTGGGAATTGGGGGAAAGTTAGAAAGTGAGCATACTGCTTTATAGCTAACCGCACCTTCCAAATCTAGGTTGGCATGCACTTATCGATGCTAGCCAACATGACTAGCAGTGTCCCTCAGGGTTCTGTGCTAGGCCCACTGCTATTCCTGATGTTCGTCAACGATCTGCCACGGGAAATCAACAACCCGTGCTTTATGTTCGCGGACGACTTCAAAGTGGTTGGAACGAACGTATATCACGACCTGCAGGCTGTTATACGGTGGTCCGTGTTGAATATGTTTGTGGTTGTTGATCGAGTTGTAACAAATGCTTCGGCATCAATTCTTCACGCAATTTTTTCGCACACATCATGGACCATGTATTTGTTTGAATGTATCACTTTTACATTCTTCTCAATATCGTTGACTCGAGCGGCTGGAGTGGAACTCCGCTATTTTTGAGACGCGGTTCAGATTATTGAGTCCTCTCTTAAATCGCTTATCATG